ATCCCCGGTGGGAGGTGTGCAGGTGGCAGCTGATCAATGTTTCTCTCTCATTGATGTTTCTAACTCTCTCTCTCATTAAAAAAAAAAAATCGATTTTTTATGAGAGATAGTTAGAAACTATATATAAATATATATTTTATTGATTTTTATGATAGTTAGAAACATTATATATGTATATATGTATATATATATGTATATGTGTATGTATATGTATATGTGTGTGTGTATAATTTTTTTTTTTTAATGTAGAGACCACGGACGGGGTGGGACAGGGCGCACCAGGTTGCAGCCTCTCTCCCCGCACCTTACCGGGCCCTTAAGGCCAAGGCCGGTCCGTGAACCCCAAAGCAGAGATCCATGGGGCTGATCCGTGAACCAGAGGGCGAGCGAGGAAGCGCAGGAAAAGCGGACTCTTTCTCACCACCTCCAGACCCAGGGCCTAGCCGGAGACCAGCGCCCTGGCACCACCCCAAAGCCAGCCACCGCCGGGGCCCCGGCTCCCAGCACCCGGGTCCGGGGCCCGCAGGTGCGGGACGCATGCGCACTGGCCCCCCGCGCCGCACACCTTGGAACCCGCCCCGGCCCGCCGCCTCCCAGGCGGCCGCAGGCCCCGCGCCGCCTCACGCAGGAGCAAGGCCTCGGAACCCCGCCGCCGCCGCGGCGCCGCCTCCCGGGCCCCGGCGAGGGCATCACCTGGCTCCCGGCCTTCGGGATCGCACCTCCCGTAGACTTGCAAGCGCCGCAAGATTTGGAAATGGTTCTTCAAACCGGGGAGCCGCCGGCGTCCTCGGAACTAGCTTCAGTTTAAGCTCACCGCCTTCCTGGTTCCAGCGCCAGGCAGCGCCAGCCGAGCCTCCGAGTGCATCGATGGAGGCGGCCAGGCGCTCGGAGTGCCGAGGGAATAGATCGCCAACGCCGCCGCCAATTTTTTGTTTGCTGTTGGTTTTGCTTGCTTGTTTGATTACTTCATTGCCTCATAACAACAAGATGAATAAATTAAAAATAAATAAAGGTGGGGGCTGACGGGTGTAACTGCCTTTGTAGTCGTCGTTATCGTCACAGATAACCAGTATAAACAAGTCTGCATCATAGGAAGTTAGGTTTAAAGACACATGTAGCAAAATTGGTTATCTCTAGCTGAAACTCACCCAACAAATAATAAATCATAGGAGTGTGTCTGCATAGAGTCGTGTGTGATTAAAATACAATGATTTATTTGCACACCAAAAAAATGCATTCAAAGTCGGTGTTTCTCCTGCCCTGAAGGTGAAGGCACTCACAGGTTGGTTACAAATTAAGTTTCTCACATTAAAGTAACTGGTTGTTAGAGGACTGTGGAAAGGGAAGGCTGCCCTAGGCAGGGAAAGGAGATTTCTTCTGGGAGAGGAATTGTTTAGGTGCTTGTTGTTATTTACATCAATAAAGATTAAAGCAAGTAAGCATTTTCTGTAACTCATATTTCATTAATTATCTGTCCTTGCATAAGTATCCTGTTTCCTTGCTAACTATAAGTATGCAAAGATACGGAGGTAAATAAACTGTTGGCCTTGGTTTGGGTCAACTGCAAGAACCAACTCGTTCAGAATCGCTAGATACCCAAATCACAGTTTTCTGCAGGTATTTGAGAGGTGAAAATAAGTTCCAGAAATACATTTGTCATAAATGACTGTACCTTAAATAACCAGTTTTGAGGGACCGTTTTAAAACTAACTACCACACTTCACGTTTATTTTAAATAATTCAATAGCTGGGGGGACTCAGGGACCTGAATTTTATTGGAACTTGTATACCTGTCTGCAGGCTGTCAACTGAGCTTTACTATCAATTTTTTTTTTTTTTACCAAAACTGTATTTTGCAACACCCTGTTTCCGGAAAACATTTACTATTTAATAAAACAACCTCATTAGAACTTCATGAGCATTTATTAGCATATCATTTCAAAACCTTTGTGTGTTTTTTTAAATAAGTTTCCCTTAGGCCAGTAGAATCCGTGATCAGACACTGCAGATCTCTCATAACTCTATCAACACCACTATTCCTAAATATACAAAGAGCCAGGAAAGTCTTTTTGGTCTGAATTGCATCAATTATCTGGACCTCCTCTGATTACCTTTAAAGTGGTCATCTCTCCCTCTAGCTCTGTAGATGGAATTCGAGATCAGACCTAGAAATCATGGCAAAAAAAAAAAAAAAAAAAAAAAAAAAGGGTAGCTGGTGTGTATCTTGATCCCTTACCAGACTTCTAAAGTGGTCATTTTGGAGCTATTTGTGAATAGTATTTAACACCTCAGTTTGGGAGCTCTTTCTGGTCATTCTGCTCAATAACCTTAAAAACATATTTTCTTAAAGGATTAAATTTTTATGGTTATTCCCCTCTCATAATATCAGGACTAAGGTTATTACAATGTAAAACCATGTTCCTAAATTCATATAACTTTGGAAAGTGTATTTTAGTCTCTTTTATAGCATAATAAAATAAAAGCAAGCACTAATATAATTCATTAATACCTAAAAGTTATTGCTCTGGAAACATAAAAATCTTAATTATTTCTCCTTAAAGTAACAATAGTGAAATGTTTTAAGAACAAAATATAACTTCAGCATTCAAGAGAAAATAAGGCAAATACTTCTTTAAAAGTATTATATCCATCTCAAGTTTGCCAAATGTGAACATTTTAATCTGAAGAGTGGTATAGTATGACAGTTATGTATAGCCTCTATTTACATATATCCTAGAAACACTAATATATTAAGTTTTAATTGTGTTTTTTTCTACAAATGTTTTAGGTTGCTCTGATGGAACTTCTCAAATTATCTGTTAACTTCGTGCTGTTGCTTTAACCAATGGATGGAAGATGTATATATCAAAGTTTTGTCATGGCTTTTATTTTTACTAGGAGTATTAGCTCTAAGAAAATGAACCCAGTTCCCTTTAACATCAGAAAGCCTGCATTCATGTTTATTAACATTCACACTGCTTGAAAACGTCCCCAACGCTACCCTGGAAGAGATATATTTGTTTACAAACTCAAATAATATAACTTAACATATGCAAATATTCTTATGTGACATACATTTGTGGCCACCCTTCTCACAGCAAGCTTCGTCCTGCGCAACACAGACAAATGACTCAGGAATACAGTCATTCCTTCCACATTAACTGTTCCGATTAAAACAGCCTGGGGAGAGCGCGGGAGACTTTTTTCTCCCGGCGAACATCTCTTTTTTCCATAGTCCGCAATCAATAAAATTAAGAGGGGCACAAACTTAACATCGACTGATTTTTTTTTTTTAATTCAAAGCAGGATAATCACTTGCTTTTCAAAATCAGGAAACCAACCGGAATGTTTTCCAGGTTGCTAAAGAAGAGTTCTTGCCTTTCATGTTGGAAAAGGGCCCGGCCCCAGGGGGTTAGTAACAAGGGAGACGGGGTGAGGGTCCTGGAACCTCCCAGAGGGGACCAAGTCCAACTAACTGTCCTTGGCGGGGCGCTAAGGAAACTCTTCAATATGGAATCTGTCAGGGAACAGCTGCTCGGGGAAACGTGTTCAATTGACCGGCCAACCGGGTTGTTGGTGGAGAAGTCAGCCGGCTTGGGCTCTAGGACGCAAGTAGTGGGGTAAATCACCAATCCCCCGGGGCCAGAAGGCTGGTGGAGACCCTGGCTCAGCCCTGGCTGCGGGGCCGGGAAGCCTTTGAAGGAGTCGCAGAGGGACCCTGCCCCTGGGCCGGGTGGAAAAGCCAGGGTGCCGGGCTGCGAGCTGGAGTTGGGGGGGTCAGGCTGGCAGCGGGGATGTAGACCTGCAATAACGGGTCACCATACGGAACTGGGTTTCGGGGCGCCAGGCGCGGGGCAGCAGTGAGGGGCCGGGCAGCCACACGGGCGGGCGGGCGGCACCCCGAAGCCGGGTGGCCCGGCGGGGACGCTGGGTCTGGCGCGGAGTCTGGATAACGGACTCGCTCCGGGAGCCGCGCACTTGTCAGTTTCCTCTTGGCCACGCCCCGGCGGAGCAGGTCCAGCTCCCCTGGTGTTTAACTAAGTCTTGACACCGACGCAAAATCCACGCCTAATTAAATTAATTAGGGCTTCTTGTCAATCCTGGATGAATGGCCGAGTGCGCAGGCGGCCGAGGCGCTCGCTCGGAGAGAACCCGGACGGCCTGGGACCTGCCTCCTCCTTCCGCCCCTTTCTCCGTCCCCCTTCCCCTTCGCTGCCTTCCCATTCCAGACCCAGCCTGCTCGGACTCCAGTTTAATCTCTCTCTCTCTCTCTCTCTCTCTCTCTCTCTCTCTCTCTCTCTCTCTCTCTCTCTCTCTCTCTCTCTCTCCTTCCTCTCCCTCTTGCTCTCCCCCCCCCCCCGCCATCCCCACCTCCACCCCCCCCCCCGCAGGTAGCGGCGGCGCGGGCGCTCCCCGGGAAGGAAGGGGCTCCCTCGGAGTCGCGAAGGGAGGTAATTCGCTCCGAACCAGGGGCCGCCTGGGCGAAGTATAAATAGTGAGACTTCAAGCGCAGCGTCGCCATCAGATCTGAACTCCCCTCCGCGGGAAGAATTGTCAAAGATCTCCCCATTGAACCAGCGGGCTCCTCCGGCGGGGAAGCAGCATCAGTTCATATTTCCCTCGGCCCCCGCCCCTCCCCTCTTCCTCCTCCTCCTCCTCCCCCTCCTCCTCCTCCTTCCCACTCCTCCTCCTCCTCATTCCTCCTCTTCCTCCTCCTCCTTTTCCTCCTCCTTCTCCTCTTTTTTTTACTTCTTTTTCTCCTTCTACTTCTCTTTCTTCTTCTTCCTTCTCTTCTTTTCCTTCTTTCTTCTTTCCCCTCCTCCTCCTCCCCCCTCTCTATCCTCCCCCCCATCCCCTGCCCCATTGATGTGTTATCACTGGGGGGGCTGGAGCAGTAAAAAGAGAAGAAGGAAAAAAAAGGAGAGCTGGGCCCGGCCGTGAGCGGTGGTGGTGGTGGTGGTGCGCGGGGCTGCGGGGCGGCATCGGAGGCGGCGGCGGCGATGGAAGAACTCACGGCATTCGTCTCCAAGTCTTTCGACCAGAAAGTGAAGGAGAAGAAAGAGGCCATCACCTACCGGGAGGTGCTGGAGAGCGGGCCGCTGCGCGGGGCCAAGGATCCGGGCGGCTGCGCGGAGCCCGGCCGCGACGACCCCGCAGTCCGGGCGGCCGGCGGAGGCGGCGGCGGCGGAGGAGGAGGCGGAGGCGGAGGAGGCGGAGGAGGCGGAGGAGGTGCAGGAGGAGGAGGAGGAGGTGGAGGAGGAGGAGGAGGAGGCGGAGGAGCTGGAGGAGGGCGCTCTCCGGCCCGCGAGCTGGACATGGGCGCCGCCGAAAGGAGCAGGGAGCCGGGCAGCCCGCGGCTCACCGAGGGTAACGGTCCCCGATCCCCGGCCCCGGGTCCCCTTCCCGCCTTCCCAACTCCGCGCCGGCGGGAGAGGACCCCCCCAAGGCCCAGCGTGGTGCGGGGTGGGCGGGGGGACGGCCGGGACGAGGCGAGGGCCCTGGGCTCCCAGTTTTTGGAAGCTGGGGTGATGGTGGCGGTGGGAGTCCTGTGGTGTGTATGGTCGCTGGTGGGGTCCGCGTGTCTATGGGGAGGGAAGGGGGCGTATTGGCGATGGTGCGCGCCCTTCTCGGACGGAGGCTCCCGCCGTTCCCACTCCGCCCAAATGCGCTCTCCAGCGGCGGGAGGACGGGGCCTCGGCGCGGGCGGACGGTGAAGTTCGCGGGGCCGGGCGCAGGCGGGGGTCCTGGCAGCGGCGGGGACTGCCGGCGGGATCAAGGCTAGCATCTAGAGTTTGTGAGAACTCCTTTTCTAGGGGAGAGAGGAGAGAAGAAAAATGAGCCAGACAGAGAGAGAGAAGAAAATGTCACCCTCCGGTGGCCCGGGGTTTGGGACCGCCGCAAAGAACCGCTAGAACTCGGCAGAGACCCTGGATCCCTGGGTCTTGGGGATCCCCGGGTCTCCGGGAGCCATACTTGGCCTTCTCTCTGAGCTGTGGAAGGTAGAGCGAGGCCAAGGCGAGCTGAGGTCCAGCCTGTGCTGTGTGTCGTGGGAGACGTGTGAGGCTCCTCTTTTTTTGTTTGTTTGTTTGCTTTTCGGTATTGACACAATCCCGTTACCGCTTTGCCTCACCCAGGACTCGGGTTCTGTGTGCGGAGAAGCCCCCGGTGCCAGCCGAGTGCGAGGAGACGGCTTTATCTAAATGGCAGAGCGTGCTGTGCCAATTCAGAGGAGTTCAACAATAAAATTAATTTGGCACTTGGTCCCTGCAGTAACTGGTGTGCTGCCATATTTTTCCAATTAAGAAAATATGTGACATGCGTAGAATCACATATTTAGGCAAGCAATTAAGTTGTTTATAACACGGTCTGGTTCCTGTTTAGGCCAATAAGTGGGCATTTGGGGGGGGGGGCGAAATAAAGATTATATCAAGCCTATTAATCAACTGGAAACGTGGACATATTTTTCTTAAGTTTGAGAGGGTACCCGTGGTGGATGACATAAAATAGACAGCCTTCTCAACCCCTTGGGCAGTGTCTGGAGTGTGTTTTCATGTTTAAATTTTATGACACTGTGAGTGGACATATTTTATGAACTTGGCTGTGAACGCTTGCTACTATGTTATCCACTTCCTTCCAGGAGGAAGGACACATGTCCACAAAACGAACTCTGAGAACTAGACATGCTGGCTCCCTTAAGATCACAGCAGTAAGCATGGCAGGCCAGGCTGAGATCTAGAGGCGATTCTCCCCCCCCCCCCCAGACCCTGCCCCCCAGGTTCTCTTAAATTTGCAAAGTGTTGGCATAGCTGCCTGACGCTTCCACGCAGCCTGCTGCAGCCCCGGTGAAGCCACCGCAGTGCTGGGCCCTGGGTGCAGCAGCGCGCAGCACCGAGAGGTGATAAGGTCTGAACCCCGGGGTAGGGTGCCATCCTGGGGTTGTTCCTTTCCATTAATTCCTCTGCAGGCCCGCCCTTTTGGAAATGATGCTTAACTCCCACAGAAATGATGCTTAACTCCCACGCCGATCTGGAACCAAGGCTGGGGAAATCTGCAAACAGCCTCGTTTATCTAAACTCAGCTTTGACGCTTAAAAAAAAAATCCCGAAAACCGAGTCTCCGACTCAGGCTCAGGGGGTGAAGGTTCTCAGGGCAGTTTCTGTGGTGGAGATGACTCCCCGGGCCGCTGCCACTTGGCCTTGATAGACAGCAGTTGGCAAAAGTAGGCTTACAGTGGTGAGTCCGCGAACATTTTATTCTCGTGTTACTATTTATTAACTATTGCATTATGTATTTGTATGGCAACTGTCAACCTACTTCTGCCCGCCCCTGTAAATATATAGCCATATATCCCTTGGGTAGCTCCTTGTGCTCACATTTGCAGAGCTCCTGTTTTTTTAAAGGGAGGAGAAGAAAGGGTAGGAAAATAGCAACGGATGTGTGCAAAACCAGAGCAGGGGGGAGAAAAAAAAAAGATGCCTATTTTATTAAACATCCGAGCTGGTGGATGCATGAAAAAAGGCTTTGAGCGACCAATAGAAACCTAGAAACCGCGGATCGCGAATGTTCCGCTTGAACCTGTTGATCTCTGCGGGTTGAAACATTCAGGGTCCAGCCGGCCTTTGCAGCGGGGAGATTGCCCAGGCGGCGGTCAGGTCCGTGGGAGGCCAGGTTGCTGCCTCTCGCCTTCCAGCCCGGCCGGTCTGGTCGGCCAGCCCTCCAGGCTGCCAACATGGCGTGGACGCCTCTGCTCAGGCGACAGAAATCCGGCTGGCGGGGGACAAGGAGGACTGCCTGGCGGCCCGTGGATGGCCGGTGGGGTTTGGCCCGGGCCCTGGGTCCGCACTGGGGCTCCCGGGGAGGAGACTCTCTGGGAATGCGCTGCACGAGGGTCTTGTTCCGCTGGCGCTCCTTTGGCCCAAGTGTTACCAAATCAGACCAGCAAGTTGGAGGGAGAGAGACGGAGGGCGATTGGCCTGAGACGGGCCCAGCGCTCTCTGCAGGAGAGGCCGGAGCGAGCGTGGTCTCCCCGCGCCCTCCTGCCCGCACCGCGCTTGGCCCCGGGCGGGCGGGGCGCGACGCTTTTGATTTCTGTAGGAACGTGGGAGAGAGGGAGTGGGCGAAAGGGATTTGGTTTTTGGAGGAGAGAGAGGGAACAGTGGGGGTGCATAATGAGGGGAGCCGAGGCCGCCGTTTCAGGGGAATGGGTGAGTGAATGCCCATCTTGCCCGAGGGCGGCCACCCAGAGTTGATCTTGAGCGCGCGTCTCCAGGATCCCAGTCCTCCTCTGGGCCGGGCCGGGTGAGGGACCGGGCAGGAACTCCAGGAGGGGGCAGGATCCGCCACCATCCGTCTGGAGACAGATCTGGTTAATGGGATTTGTTGTGTTTTTTATCTGTGTGTGTGTGTGTGTGCCGCTGTGCGCGCGCGTGGACGTGTGTGTGTGTGTGTGTGTGTGTGTGTGTGTGTGTGGCGCCCCATGCAGTGTCCCCGGAGCTGAGGGATCGGAAAGAGGATGCGAAAGGGATGGAGGACGAAGGCCAGACCAAGATCAAGCAGCGGCGAAGTCGGACCAATTTCACCCTGGAACAGCTCAACGAGCTGGAGAGGCTTTTCGATGAGACCCACTACCCGGACGCCTTCATGCGCGAGGAGCTGAGCCAGCGGCTGGGGCTGTCGGAGGCCCGAGTGCAGGTTTGTGACCTGTGAGGAGGTCGAGGCAGGCTCCAGGGAGGGAGGAGGGGCCCGCCAGGGGCTGGAGAGGCGACTTTCAGGACACACTCTAAAGGTGCAGGCTGGTGAGAAAGGAAGGGGTGTCCTAAATAGAGGTCTTGTTTTCCAAAGTAGATCTTAGTCCCAAACCGTCTTTCTCTCTCCCCACCCCCCCACCCTTCCCTTTCACCCTTTTCCAACATATGTTCCCAGCAGAAGAAAGCTGTGCTGGGCTTGCTCCCAGAGTTTCTATAAACCACACCCCCCCCTCGCCTCATGATGTCTTTAATGTGGTTTAATCCTAATGGGCCTACTTTTATAAGCCTTAAAAAAAAATCCCACAGAAAACGTTTTATCTTCGGGATGTCTTAAAAGTTACAACGAATATTCTGTTCGCTGGAGTTGGGTTTCCTTGAGGGTCTGCTCAGGGGTCTAGGTTTGCCAAGCGGATGTGCCAATTAGGTTTATAGATGTACAGACTATAAAGAAAATTAGCAACTGTTAAATGCAGAAATTTACAGTCTGCCCTTAGCAGTTGATCTCAAACTGCGTGCTTTCGGAAACAGCAGAGAAATAAATGCATGTTGGCCACTCTTTGTTCCCTCGCTTCACCAAAGCAGCGGAACCTCAACCTACAGAAACTTGGTTTTAAAACAACCCCCAGATCTTAATGTTGACATTTTTCAAAGTCCCGACCCCAGTGAGTACCCTATCTCATGCTATTAGGATTGTTTTTTGTTTTCTTGGGTTTTGTTTGTTTGTTTGTTTCTTCTGGTCTGAGGGTGAAAGTAGGCTGCTTCGGGAAGCGGTTCATTTGAACATGTATATGCATCCATGCATACATACCCTAGGGTTATGGAGAGCAAATTTAAATGTTTCAGATTGCATTTCGCTCCAATAATAAAGTGGGAGAAAAGGATGGTCATTATTTGTTTGAACACATGGAGCAGTTTTAGGCCTGAACATCTGCAGCTGTTACAAAGTATCACTGTAACAGATACTCCCTAGGTTTCTGGGCGCAGAGACCACCATCTGCAGAGAACTATGCAATTCTTAGGGGGCTTCCCCGCGTCTTGTAATAGGATCAGGACAAAAACAGCAGTGGAGTTGAAGGGGAGAAGCCATAATAGGCTGCCTTGGTCATCACAGCATCAACAGCGGAGCCTTCCTTTTTAAGCCTCCCCTGCTTTGCTCTGTGTGCTGAGATCTCTAGAGGCTCAGCAACCCCTTAAATACACGATGATAATTATTACAGTTATGAGCATTAGTATCTCAGCTCCAACACTATGAGGGGGGGGGGAGAGGCAAGGAGCCTCAGGCCATGTGAGTTGCACAAAGGATGCCCACCCTGCCATGAAATCTGCCCTTCTATGACGCTAAATGGCAGGGGAATTTTTGAAAATTTACATGGACGATGACACTTGCTTTTAAAAACAAGACAAAGCTCAGAAGCGATATTTTGCTTTCATGTGTTTTAAAACACGAATTGGTGAATCAGTCAATATGCTATCTTATTGGGACATAATGCTGTATTATCAGAGTAAAAAAAAAAAAGGAAGCTTTCTTTGAATTTTAAAAAGTCTGTCCGATTGCCTCTAAAAGTTGGCAAGGTTGTTTAAGAAGGTTATATCTGGGAGAAGAGAGTATCCAGGAGTTGCTCAATTCATACTCCAACCCCTTTCACACAATATTCTCTCTCTTTTTTTTCTCCTAAGAAGTGATTTATTGCCGATCTTTATTTTTTCATACTTAAAAACATTTTTTGAGCTATTTTCCGGATGCTTTTCTTCTACCCTAACTGTGAGCATGGGCTATTTCTATAGAAGCAAATTAGATTATCATGATAATAGTACAATTATTCTGCTACTGTGTTACACTCTGTTGCACGGAGGAACAGAGAAATTCTAAACTTCTTTGTAGTGAGGCTTTTATGACACTAATTACCTCTTCCCCCACTCTCATCCCTCTCTCTCAGCCCTGAGGAAAAAAAGAGTCACTATTTGCTTTGGTGTTTGGTTTTTCTTGAAGATGAAGCTAATTAATATTACAGACTATTAATGAGCACATTTGTCTCAGGTCTTACTGGGCGAACATCTAAACCCATTATCACTTTGGTATCGGGTATCAGCAAGGGTTTTAGGCCTTGGGAACTCTGTCATGTAGAAAGATGAAACCAGGACTAATAGCAATTTACCAATAAACCATCTTGCAAAAGTATATGAAATCTATATATTTTTGTCATCCACATTCACTTTTAAGTTTGGAAATTGAGATTGTTCTATTAATTCAAAGGTTGTTTGCTACATCTCATAGTTTGTGCCTAAAGCATTACTCTTTTTTCATCTACTTTTGTAATTAAAAATATTTTTTGAGTCATAACATCAAGGTTATATATTTTCTCTCCAATGTGTAGGTTTGGTTCCAAAATCGAAGAGCTAAATGTAGAAAACAAGAAAATCAACTCCATAAAGGTATGGTTCTCAGACAAAGAACATTTGGTATTCTAAGTAAAAAAAAGGAAAAAAAAAAGAGTGGGGAATATAATATTGCTGTTACAAATGCAGAAAAATCTTCTCAAAATAATAATGGTCCTTGTTTAAAAATCTTTTCTGAAGGCAGTTAATGAGAGTCCTAAAGTTTGGGAGGAAGTTCGACTTACTTTAATTATGGCAGTAGTTTAGGAAGATAAGAGATTATTTCCAAAGGGACTAATTCTATCTTGCTACCATTTGGAACCATGGAAAACAATGTTGGAAATATTCATCTCACGTTATTGTGTTTTGTTCCCTCGTTCTTTGCAGGCGTCCTCATAGGGGCTGCCAGCCAGTTTGAAGCTTGTAGAGTTGCACCCTATGTTAATGTAGGTGCTCTAAGGATGCCATTTCAGCAGGCAAGTACTGCCCAGTTTCAACCCGTTTTTTTTTTTTTTTTTTTTTTTTTTTTTTTTTTTTTTTTTTAACTGTAAAAACACCCGGATGTTTGCTTGAACTGTTGACCATCCCCCTCTCTGTAAGCCCCAGTTGTTGGTGTCCATGCAGTTGAAGAATCAATTTTGAGATGACATAGTGGACCTTCTCCCCTTAAAAAAAAAAAAAAAACCTATAGAGTGTCAGGGGGCCACACGTCTGGTCCTTTCTGTCCTCGTGGGAAACCCAGAGAGGCCTGAGGGCAGTAACAGATCCTTTAAAAATGCACTAAAGATGGAGCTTGGGGAGAGGAAGGAAAAGCCTTTTGATTAAGATTTTGTCAGATCCAATACAGAAGTTAGTCCTAAGGTGTTTCTGAGGCAATTCTCTAAATGTTTTTCTAGGTAAAGTCACATTAACTGTCTCTGACAGAAGAAAAGGAAATAAATAAAAGTACTCTCTTGCTCAGACTTGATTTTTTAAAGCTGTCTACAAACAAAGCTTCATCTTTAGGAGAGAAGGAAGCCTTGCCTTGGTCTTCCCAGGGATGCCCTGCAATGCCTTTCCTGGCCTTAAAGAAACTTTTAAGACTACATTTAAAAGGACAGCCTACAGCAATGATTTAATCCTGGGAACTCCCCGTGCTCTGAACTCCCCACTCTCTAAGCCTAAAGGCTCAATCCTTTCCCAACCAGCCCCTGACCAACCCTCCACCTCAGCCAGGACCCCTGCTTGTAGGACTATGAAGTCATGAATTAGTTCTCCGTTGCCAGTGTCCTAGTCTGGAAAGACACATGAGTGCACCGATGTATTGAGGGTTAGTGTTAGGGCGTTCTTAGCTTTCTTCTTGGCACCACAGGATTCTGGTATCATGGTGCTAGGCTTTTGAAGCTAGAAAAAATGACCGGGGAAACAGAAAGGGGTCTTAAAAAGAGACCCTCACTTTTCAGAAGGCGATCTGTAGGTCTGCAGCATCAGCAGCATTTGGGAGATGGGTAGAAATGCAGAGTCAGGCCCCAACCTAGACTTTCTGAATGGGAATCTGCACTGAAACGAGGTTCCCAGGTAATCCTCACAGGAGTTTCAAGTACCAACGATTGTGCTAATTGTGATGAAGATGCAGTAACTTACAAAGTTTTGTCCTTTGCTTGTTGGTACTTGCTTTGTTGTCCTTTGCTTGTTGGCACTTGTTAAGTGCTTTAGTAGAGAGGTTAGATGTGTATGACAACATCCAGAGAGGAGGGTAGCTGGCCCTCACCCCGTTTTGCCAATACACCCTTGTTATTTTGAGGAGGGTGATGCTTTGTAACAATAGCTACGTGGCCCTCCTATGGGCCCAGCTCCCTAAGGAGCGGCCACATTCCTGCAGTCTCAGCCTCTCGGGGGGCCTAGGAAGATAAGCTGAGTGAGTTGCAGAGATTCAGGGGCACGGGAGTAACTCCCCCGTGGGCGCCCCAGAATCCAGTCACTTGACTGAGAAGGCTAGCCAAAATGCCCCCTTTCCCATCCCCGCCCCAGCCCTCGCCTGCCTGGGCCACGCCAGACGCCGTTAATGCTCTTGTTTCTATTCTGTTGTCACCCTAGGATAGTCATTGCAACGTGACGCCCTTGTCCTTTCAGGTTCAGGCGCAGCTGCAGCTGGACAGCGCCGTGGCGCACGCGCACCACCACCTGCACCCGCACCTGGCCGCGCACGCGCCCTACATGATGTTCCCGGCGCCGCCCTTCGGACTGCCGCTGGCCACGCTGGCCGCCGACTCGGCCTCCGCCGCCTCCGTCGTGGCCGCCGCCGCCGCCGCCAAGACCACCAGCAAGAACTCCAGCATCGCGGATCTCAGACTGAAAGCCAAAAAGCACGCGGCCGCCCTGGGGCTGTGACGCTGCCGCCGACGCCAGCGCCCCCGGTGGCGCCTCCAGCGCGGCGTGCGCCCCCCGCGCCTCAATGCTTCTCCATCGCCCCCCTCTCCGCACCCCCGGAGCCCAGCCTCTTGCCGCCCGCCCGGCTGATCGCCCCCTTGCCCGCTTCTGCGTTTCGTTTGGACTCGGAGGGCAGGACTCCGCGCGGGACCTGCGATCCCTCGAGGCGCGTCAACTCGGTGGCTGTGCTGACCACGCGGCTGTCCAGAGGGCCTGGCCTTCAGCTCTGCAGGGGCGGGTTTGGGGGAGTTCTGGAGGAGAGAGCTTGGACAAGGGCATGCTGGGACACCGTGGTGTGGCTTCTAGCAAAGCTGCAGAGATGGACTCTTGCTCAAAAATAAAAATCCTCTTAATAAAAAAAAAAATGAACAACAACAACAAAAGGTAGAAAAGACAAACGGAAAAAAAAAAGAGAGAGAGAGAAAGGGAACGTATTTCTGATGACGATTGGAAAGAAGCTAACATCGGAGAACCAAGGAACACACACACACACACACACACACACACACACAAAATGAAAGTATTTTGTATGTTTAAAAATATGGAAAAATCACCTGGAAGAATCTCGAGAGAATGAGGGGTTGGGGAGTGGCCAACTTAAAAGTGTATGCCTGCCCCCACGGGCAAAGAAAGCAACCCAGAAGGAAGAGGTATACTTATTTAAAGAGTTAAGATTTAAAAAAGAAAAAAAAAAGGTGCGCAGCTGGGAAGTTCACAGGTTTTGAAACTGACCTTTTTCTGCGAAGTTCATTTTAATTACGAGAACTTTGATAAGAGAGGCGGGCCTCCTTTTACGTTGAACCAGATACTTTGAGTTAAAAAAAAAAAAAAAAAAAAAACCACCACGAATGGAAGAGCAAGAAGAGGGGAAAAGTATAAAAACAAGGAGAGAAAGAAATGGATATTAATATGAGAAAAAAAATGATACCACAGACTGATTTCTCTGAGGAAATTATGGCAGAACTGTCCAGGCTGTTGGCAGTCAATTCCGGTTTGCATGTTACTTTTATTCCATTGATGGTGTCTCCCCCTCTCCCTGCTTACTCACATGTACTTACTTCATTTTCATCTTCAGTATGAAAAACAATACCAAAAGCATCTGGAAACTGATGTCTATCTATATCTATCTATATATACTTTCCTTGATCCTTGGGGACAAAAGAAGAAAAGTTGGAAGGGAAAAACTTGACACTCTGTCCCAAGAAAACGGAGGTGGGCAGAAAATGTGGGGAAAGGAAAAAAACAAAACAAAAGAAGACCAAATAAAAATAACGAAGGTACAGCACCTCAAATGGTGCCCATAGGCAGCCCTCAGTGGTCCCTGTCTCTCCCCCTTTTCTTGTCTACCCTCCTGCTGGTTCCCTGAGTCCTATTGGAGGGCTCTGCTTTATTTCCCCCTCTCTATCCCGTTCCACTCACCTTAAGCAAAACCCAGCTAGATACAGGCACTAGGTTTCTGTAAAATATGTTGATACACACGAACAAAGTTTATTTTGGCTATAATGTGTGAACTGATGGTTGACTTTCGACATCTGCATTTTATCTCACAAAGGTGTATATTAAAGTACTTTTTTGTTTGTTTCAATTTCTGTAGCTGTTCAAAATGGGATACCCTGGACTAAAGCAACCTGTATCCCAATTCTCTAGAAAGCCTCCTTAGTTTTGTTTTGTGTATTTTTTTTTTTTCGCCTTCTTATTTACAAGAAAGAAGAAAAGCTCTTTTCACTGAACTGGAGTATGCGGTTGAGCTTTGTAACTATTTGTTCTCCATGAAAACAAAATTATTTATATTTGCCATATTTTTTTCTAGTGTATTAAGTTATTTTAAACAAAAGAAGATGCTGTTATTTCCATGACGTATTGTCCGTACAAAATGTTTTCGGTTTCACCTCTGTTAAACAAAAAAAAACCTTTTAAATAAGTGCCAAGTTATTCATTGAAGACACTTTGCGATCAATTGAATGAAAATAGTATTGTTTCATTTGATGGGATTCGCGTCATCTTTGTTCCTGTTGTTATTAAACTATCCGAGATAGTCTTTCCTTCTTCCTTGCTGATGAATGTGTATCTGTTGATGATTCCACCAACTTGGAAAGCGCTCGCCTCCATCAAGGGGCCATGAGAACAGTGGCTCTGTGGCACCACACTGAACCAAACTCCCCCTCCCCCATGACATCCACTTAGCATAGAACCCGGATTTATTTTTTTACACCAAGTCAATAAAGGAACAGATCATATATAAAAATAACAATAGAATAGTCCCTTCCCCAAGATGGACTCTCGTTCTTCATTTTGCTGCACTTTGGCCCTTGAAGAGGTTTATTTGGGAGACACTTTGGGTAGGCAGAGGAGCGGAATCGCGCGGCGCAAAATCCACTTGGGTTAATTATGGCATAACTAATACTCAGTCCCAAGTCGCCGAGCCTCCCTGGAGATGGGCAGGCGATGGTTTGGGGAAGTAGGGCAAGAGCCGGGGAGGGGGGCCAAGGCGCTGGGAAGGACAGATCTGCACCTTGCCTTCCAGTTTGACTTTTGGACCAAAGCAGCTTCTTGGCTTGGTTAAATTTAGGAAAAGGTAGAAGCCGGGACCATGACCCTCATCAGGAAAAGCCGGGTCTTAGCCATCAGAACACCGAAGAGCCCTTCCCTTCTTCCCCTGTGGGCCCCCTCTCCCATAACAAGTCTCCCCAGTAAACTGTGGGTTTAGGGGTTGGTAGAAACGGGGAAGATGGGCCCTGGCCCGGCCCGGCCCGGTGCAGGACCCTCTCTTTCCCGCTGGGCTCTAGGAATGGGAGGCACCCTGTGCCAAAATTGAGGGGTCCCGAGTGTCCCCCCAGGGTCCTCAAACCCTCCTCTGCCCCAAAAAACAAACAAACAAACAAACAAACAAATAAAAACCCTGCGTCTTCTGGCTGCACTCGCCCAGGCCCTCTCTTGAATTGAGTTCGCATCCAAATCTGTTCCTTGGCGTGGGAAGGGGTGATAGGTTCATAAGTATCTTTTTGCTTTCAAAGACCATAGACCAAGACTAGGGACGTCTCCAGCGCGCGTCCCCTGTTTCGGAATAAACCTCTGCCCGCGGCGGAGCGCGCTTGGAAGCGGCCGCTGCTCCGCACGCCCGGACCAGGTGGCCCGCGGGGAGCTCCCCGTGGGCGCCCCGGACGGGACCGGACCCGCAGGCTCCAAACCCGGACTCTAGCCCCTAATCCAGCCCCCTCCGCGGGATGGGACAGTGTCTGGGCACCCCGAGAGAGGTCAGAGGTCACGGGAGAAGTTGGGTTTGGGGAGCTGGCGGTTCGGTCCCGCCCAGCCTCGCTCGCGGCAAGAACGCAGTCCCGCCTCCCCCCGCAGCCAAGCTGGGGAGAAGCCCGAGGTCGGAGGAGGCAGTGTGCGCCCCGGTCCAGACCAGCCAGCGCCTGGGGCAGCCAGGAACCTTCCCTGGGGCCGGAGGCTGCAGGGCTGGGCGCGGAGCCCCGAGGGATCGGGCCTCCTCGGAAGGGAGCGCTCAAGGCCGAGGGCCCCGCGGAGGCCAGCCAGGCGGGGTGAGAAAGGCCACAGTGTCTTAGCCCCAAGCTCGTGGCATCCTCGCCTCCTTCCACGTCAGCTCTGCGGAGACCAGGCGCGGGCGGAGGCTGCCTTTTCAGACCGGGCCCTTTGGGTTCAGCCTCCCACACGCGCAGGCAGAACCGGCTTTCCTGCGGCGTCTGGGCTCCAACTCACAGGCAGGCGCCAGGGTGTTCCGAACCCCGAGTTTCCAGAGCCACCGGAGAAGGAGTCTGAGGCGGTGAAGTTGGGGATTCAGCAGAGCTAAAAGCAAAACCAGAGTCTAAAATGTCCATTCCACGATGGAGCCGGGTCTTTAAGTTTAAATAAGGCCCAACATGCATGTGGTTTGGGTCGAGAGGGAATACACTTAATAAATAATTAAATGAAAAAAGTTAAATGCCCCCCCCCCCCTTCACCCCAATTTTTCTTGGTGTGCAAAGCCTTCCGAAGCTACAGAGTCCCTGATTGGGGAAAACCCGCGCTAAAAGAGACTATTCAAGTGTTAAGGACCCTGTGATGCTCGATGCCCACTAAGATCACAGGCCTTTGAGGGAAGCTGGGCTGATAAAATAGCTCTTCTGAGTTTTTTCCTTAGATTTATAACTTTTCAGATACTCAGATGGTAATACTTTAGTATAATGCAATGCTCAAGTTTCGGAACTATTTTGATTTCTGAAAAATGCCTTTTTGGCTTTCAGTGACATGGGATCCTGTTATTTTTTCACAAATCAGTTTATATCGTAAATTGCAAACATTTGCAATAAGATCTCAAGATTGTTTATTTTATGTAACCTCAAGCACTTGACTATGTTAAACACCGGTACAGAAAGTCTGTGAAATCAGTTTAATGTGTGTGAGGGAATTAAAGGATCACTCCTTTTCAGCACATAAACAAAGCATTTAAGATTGTTTTGATTGTCAGTCTCCCGAATTTTAAACACCCTTAACAATTGACTATTAATTTTAGAGTCATTCTGTGCAAAAATAATTACTGAAGTTATATCCTGCTTTCATTAAATGGTTCTGGGCAGAATAAAATGGTATTCTACAGTTGGGAAATGGGTGATTGTTTGTATTATGTTATTTTAAATTATTTTAGTTCAAAGGTAAATAAAGTCTACAAATTCCAATGGAGGGTAAAAAGGCCTGAAGTAGTTTCTTAATATGCCATTAGAACAGTTAGTCAAAGTGCATTAAAGGAATGTCACAAATCCAGAAATAATAAATATGTCATTCTAATGAGAGTGTTAACTTATGGATAATTTATTCAAGGTAGTTTTTACATTTCACATGGAATCTCTTACTGTGACCTGACTGAGTACTGTGAGGCTTGTTCCTCAAAATCTAATTTATATAGGCTTGGATATACATAATTCATAACTTATGTTGACATACTTATACCCACCCCAAATTTT